TTTTACGCGAATTTCGAATTTTACTTTTTAACGACTTTTTTTATTGATACCACAGGTAGCCCAAGCTTGGTTTCTGTGGTGTCCTGTTATAAGGAAATGTATGGAGATTCATCAAAAACTTCAATAAAATCATTGAAACGTGAAATAAAGCCTCGAAATTTTACCCGATCATTGAAAAATAGCACTTCTTTCGCTCTGCGTGGTTATTTTTCGAATTTAGCCCGTTTTAAGATTTTTTCCCCCACCAGTAAGAAATAAGAGAAGGTTGGAAACTCGAGTCCCAAAAGCGAACCATCACGGGTCTTTCAAACCTCGTACGTCTTCGAATTTTCTTTCCAGCGCCAAATTTTAGTCATGACCCTTCTCTCACATCCCTATAGAACCGAGAAAGTCGCATTACAGATTAATCTTCGCGTCTTTAAGCCATGAAATTTGCCTGTATTCACATACTACCTCGCTTGTTCTGACCCGTACTTGGAGCTCACTGTACACCAATTCAACGGATTTCTTTCGGCAATCGACCCGAGGTCACGCCGGAAGTCTTCGTATCGTAAATGCGGATTGAATTTAGATAGGGTCTTTCTTCGAAATTATGGTGACTGTATTTTTTAACGGCCTAAGATACAAAAGTATTTAACTTATAATTTCGAAGAAAGACTCTATCCAAATTCAATCCGCATTTACTATAACGAAGACTTCCGGCGTGACCTCGGGTCGATTGCCGAAAGAAATCCGTTGAATTGGTGTACAGTGAGCTCCAAGTACGGGTCAGAACAAGCGAGGTAGTATGTGAATACAGGCAAATTTCATGGCTTAAAGACGCGAAGATTAATCTCTAATGCGACTTTCTCGGTTCTATAGGGATGTGAGAGAAGGGTCATGTATTTTTGAAGTGTTTAATTGGCTTTACCGTGCATAAAACATTTACACTTTTTTACATAGTTTGCATCAACATCCTACGTACAGTTTACCAATCGATCTGAATGCCAATTATTTTTTCCTCATATGTAAAACTCGATCACCTATATCTTTACTTGAATTGAATATTTAGTTTGTTCCATTGTGTTTAGTATAAGTGATCTTTTTGTGGTTTCATCTTGGCCTGCCCCTTTTTAAGGCTATAAATATCAAAGGTCGTTAGTTTTCACGGGTTTTCCGTTTTCCCACCAGTATCTACCCGTTGTGACTTGATCACTCCCTAGTGTAGAAGTTAGTCACTGATTTCCTCGTGAGTTTAAAGGCTCACAAGAACTAACGAACCACAAACTACGTAACGAGGTAAATGTTCTAATATCATTACTCTTTGTTTTTTCTTCTTCATATCATTGTACGCAATGTGTCCATGTTATGGATATTCCAAGTCAGGGCACGGGGAGCTCACGGTTCGAACCCTGAAAAAACTCTGGGCTGGTCAAAGTCAGGGCATGGGTAACTCGCAGATCGAAATCTGAAACCATCTATTAGATGATTAAAGTCAGGGCACGGCTACCACACAGATCGAGCCCTGAAACAAACTCTGTGCTAATAAAAGTTCGCAAACGGGTCAACTCATGATCGTACTGAGATCAGACCATGAAACAACTTCTGGGCTGATATATGTCAGGATATGGCTAACCTATAGAGATCAAACCCTGAAGCAACCTATGGGTTGATATAGATCAGGGCATGTGTAACTTACAGATTGAATTGAAGTTTAGCTTGTTAGTTTTTCTATAAAGGGAGAAACTGGAGAAACCGGAAGAAAACCCTCTAAACAATGTAAGAAAGACCTAACATACTTAACTCACATGTGATGCCATGAAGTGATATCGTATCAGTTCACTGATATGGTTTTTATTCACGACTTTATCAAATTAAAATCGATCCTAAATGTGTAAAAAACATGTTTGTTATCTTGCCTTTGGTCATAATACTATTTGTTGTTTTGTTTTTATTTTTCATTTTTTTAATTTTATTTTATTTTATTTTTTTTTTGCCAGCTAAAAATCATGCAAGTTTTTAAGTGTTTGTCTTCTTTCGCTCACGTGACTTTATTACTTTTGATGGTTTGCTGTACTAAAGGTAAAAGAAATTGAACTGTGGTTTGGCACATCTAACTCCAGTCCCATGCCGTCATTGGTCATCCGTATCGACAATACCTCTAACCCTAGTTAACCTAGACCCCTTGATCTTAAAGGGAAAAGAGAGAAGATTTTTTATAGTGCGTGGAACGATTTATTTCTCGGCAAAGTCGCACGAGATGCCACATGCGACATATCCCTCTGACGAAAAGTCCTTCTCCATCATTATAAAATAACTGTTATAAATCTCGCGTTCTGATTGGTTGGGAGCGATTGCTTTATGAAAGCCGCAGCACGCGCGCGCACTTTCAGCTGCGTAATTCGTATCCAAAATAACGGTAGTTATTGTAATATTTAATTTATAAAAGAAATAAAAAAAATTGCTTGATGCGCTGTGTGGAGTTACAAAGGAATTGGCAGAAAACTCGAGAATTGTCGAGAAGCACTCCGCAGCGCGTGGCGCTTTATAACTGTACACCGTGCGCGCGCGCGCGTTGCATAGTCGCACCGTGTTTCCATCATTAACTCTTTCATATATTTCCTCCTTATCTAGAATGTTCAGGAAGGAAAGGGTCAGTAACCAAATGCCGCAAGAAAATAGACTTAGGAATAGTCATTGACGCGTCTGCAAGTATGGGAGAAGGAAACTTTGAAGCAGCTAAGAAGTTTGCCAAAAGGTTGCTTTCTCGATTCATCATAACACCGTCCAGGACGCGAGTGTCATTGAATTATTTCTCTACGTATCATCCCATCGTTACAAAATTAAATAATGATTTGGAAACGGATGAGCTTAATTTACTCATTGATAGCATGAATTTAGAGAAATCTTTCAGTAACTTTCCAAAACCCTGAGTGGTCTTCGCTTTCAGGTGTATGCGAGACAGTTTGGCTCAAGAGCGAGAACGAAAGGTTTGTTAAGCCCCTTTTACACCGGCGATTTTTGCGGCAATTTTTGCTGCGATTTTTGTGGCAATTTTCGGAAATATGAAATCTTTTGTATCATCCTTCAAAAGAGACATTCGTCGAGGAAAATCTTGGTATCCTGAAAAAAACTTTACAAGTAAATTCTTTACCATTATTTATTATGGGCAAAATCGCAAAAAATTGCAGCAAAAATCGCCGAAAAAATCACTAGTGTAAACGGGGCTTTGTGCATTTATGACGTTGATATGTTGTTTGATTGTTTATTTTCCTATTTAATCGTTTATTTGCTTCATTGGCAAACATCAATATTATATCTTTTTTTAACGACATCATCACCCCCACCACCATTACCATCAGTCAACTACTTCAGCCATTAGAGAAGGCTCTATATATAAACGCTATCAAAAGCATGTTTTGGTAAAACCCTTCACAATCTCAGCATACTCTAGTAGATTGACACCTATAAATGTTTTCATAAGAATGAATAGCAAGGAATAAATAGATTGATTGATCATCATTGTCATCATTATCATAATAAACGACATCATATTATCGTCAAGAACATCACAGGCCCGTAGCTAGGATTTTTGTTGGGGGGGTGCTAATTTAC